ATAACAAATATAAACACATGATAAATGTTTAACACTTTCACCATTATTCTTTGAGTTTAACCTTTTTGTTATTATTCTTCGGTAAAGATGATAAATCTCAGTGAATGTTTATATTCTATTCACCCACAGAAGATTCCGATTGTTTGGTATTGAGATATTTATCAATTTATTCCGCAGACAAAAGACAGGTGAATCCAATCTTAATGTGCACTTTTAATGTTTTAAAACCACGGTTGATTACCACATTTTATTACTTGCATAATAAGATAATCAGAGAATTTTTGTAAATATATGAAATTGATACGTAAAATCTCAAGTTCTGAAATACCTTTTTGTCTTTTATATTAGTTTTAACAGCATAATTATGCAAAAATGTTAACCATGATTTAAAGGATGAATTTTTATTTATAACTAAATATTCAATTTATAGTAAAATCAGTAATATGGATTAAAAATATAAGATGTAAGAAACACTTAAACAATGGTTTTAAAAATTATGGATACGGCAAGTAATTCAAAGAAATTACATCGAAATTTGACATAATGCCAGATACAATAATCTTAAGACAGGACAAAATAATTCAGATAATGGTTTTATAGCATGTTGGATGCTTATAGCCTGAAGAAAATATGTAGATTTTGAAAAGTAGTAAAATGTAATCTAAGTAGTATTTTAGCTTCCAAACAAAATACTAAATCATTTTAACTGTACTTATTACCAAAAGCAAAGAGAAGCATAAAATTATTAAAGGCACATTATGCCACAAAAATCCATATTTTTTTTTAATTCTTTCGAAATGTCAAACATGTGATTAATGATGTTTTAAAAATGAATTAAGAGCATGTTAGGTATGTAACAACTGAAGAAAGTTGTGCTGAACGTGCAGTAATGTGTCGTAAAGGCAGCAAATTGTTAACAAAGTTGTATTTTTGTCTTCCGTACAAAATACTTATTTATTATAATTATTACAATTACCAACGAGACAAAAGAAGCAGTAGATAGTTAACCTATATGTTTTTTTTTCTTTTTTGGAAACTCACAAGTGACCCAAAATAAAACATTTTGAAAAATATAAAAGTTTTCGCATTGCTGAGGCACAATGGGCATTTTAAGGTAATTGGCTAGTGAGAATTTTGGAAACAGTAACATGGCACTTACTGTCTGTCCATGAGGTACATAGAAATCGAAATTTCATTGAAAGTCCCTATAACGTATTTAAATCAATGATCTTAGTTGATATTAACTCCCTTTGGACAAGGCTAAAGGCCTTTGAAATAAATATATATAATAAATAAACTTCCTCATTGAGAATAGTACCATAAAAGCATGTATAGTTTTTAATCAATTGATTTAATCATACTGAATTGCTCTTTTCGTACACATTTATAACATTATATTATCATAATAAAAACACAAAAGTAGCAAAATGGTCGAACCGCGAGTTCTTACAAACTAAGCAAACGGTTCTTCCCTTCTCAGGGAATTTTAATCAATTTATCATATGTTTTGAGGCCTTCACCTTAAATAATCATTACGTTCACTGCGAGTATGATAAGTGTTTATTACATGAACTAACCGTTTCCAAAATATATCCTGTCTGATATAGTATACCGATAGGTATAAAAACAACATTTATAAAAGAATCAAAGACGCAAACAGTTCTTTGAGAAAATTACTTAATCAAAGAAAGTGGCGTAAATCATGGTCAGTGACCGGCTACAAGGGGTGTTTTGTTTTCAATAGATATAAATTTTCTTATATCAAGATTGATACATTATCATTATATTTATTTAACTGTTATATATTTCACGTGAGTTCTTGTTTTATACGGTTTTATCTCCGTTCAACAACAAAGGAGTAAAATACCAGCAGTAACGTCATATTATCTTATTTCATGAATTCTGATTAAATGATTACACTTTATTGTTCCAAGAATTCTACGATTAGACATATCCGCTAAGACATACTGTTCACTTCTAAAAAAGCAGAGAAAACTAAAACTTATGATGAATTATTTGCTTTCAAATGACCGATAATGAGTTTGCACGAAAATTAGGGGATCTGAACAGCAAATTCATGGTATTATCAATGTGTTATTATTGATAACTGGAAATTTCCAATATGGAAATAATTACAAACATTTTGTTTTCAACGTTTTCATGGAAGTGGAGATATTGAGTTAAAGCATGAGTATTTTTTACTTTTGTTTAGTCATTTAAATGAAATAAAAATAAATAAAGAAACAAGTTCACAAACATAGAATTTTTTCTGAAAATAACTTTGGCTATGAAGAAAGAGATTTTTTAAAATTATCTTTATATTACTCGAGGAAGCTATACTATATAAACAATTTGTATAAAATCCAAATGTTAATATCTTCAATTACTTATTCTTGATCACGGTTGCAATGAAAAAATGTGTTCATGTATTTGTAGATATGGGCTTCTGCCTAACATATCTACACATGCACTTGATGATTAACTGCCCATTTCTAGTGTAGGTAAGAATATAAAAAATATATAAAACTACATTTCCAAAGTTCAATAAATGTACATGTATATGGATTCAATGTAAGATTAGCCGCATGTATTTAACAATACAATCTGTATTGCACTACATATGCATTTTCTGATCAGCTATCCATAAATTATTTTCTTTGTATTTAACATTAAACGGCGAATATACATGTATAGATGTACTTGACTCTTAATTTAACCCGCTTTATATCTTAATTTGACTCGTCCGTCTTTCAATCTGGACATAACCATTCATCATTTTAAGGAAATGTTCAAAATACGCACTGACTGAATAATAGAGAGTGCAGGTACAGATGTACTAGCTGATCATGGTTTTCACTGTCCGCATGGGTATAATCTATTGCCTCAAGTAGGCTATGTGTTAAAGTCTTGGTAATATCGAATATAATGAGATTCGTCCAAGTTCTTGGAGTACAAATAGAAATCAAAGCACTGAAAGTTTTGGTTACGACACGCCCCGAGAATTGTATGCAAATATTTAAGATCACAATTTTGTTATTAATGTTATTCCGAAAGATACATTCTTGTCATTGGTCCATTTGAACATGTTATTATACATACATGCTAATCATCAGATTCTCGTCTTCACTCCGGAACACATATATAACTTAGGAGACAATTAAACAGATCCAGTTTTAATGCATGTACATGTAGATAGTGTACAGACCACTTGAACTGTTTATACATATCACAAGAGCACTTCACTATAGACAAAAGGCCACCAATAAGTATGTACATGTAGTAGTTTATATACTTTAAACTGTGAGTATACATTTAATTTTTTACTTATTTGATAAATTAAATTTCCATTTTTTAAATTTTCAATTAATTCTTAAATTGGGTCTACTTTAAATCTTTTTAAAGGGGGAAATTAAAACCCAAAGAAAAAAATTTTTGCAGGAAAAAGAAAAGTGGTTTAAAGATAAAGATTGACTGATTTTTTTAACATTTGTTTAAAAAATTTAAATAGCCTTTTAAAAAAAAAAAAAAACCAAAAAAAAACCCGAACCTTAACTATAATTTGCATTTTAATTTAGTCCAAAAATTTATTTAAATAAATAATGTTTAATTTAAAAATTTTTGGGATACAATACGAAAAAAAGGAAAAGATTACTCTACCTAAAAGTTATTTAATCCATCTTATGTTTTTAAACAGGGTTTTTGCGAAAATTTTTAAAGTTGTTTTAATAATGTTATATTCAATAAAATTATTTTTAATAATAAAAAAGTGGCTGAAAAGGTTTAAAAACGGAAACATATTTAATTTTTTGAACTTATTAAATTTTCTTTTTTAAAATTTTTGACTGGTTAAGCCCTAAGTTTTAAATGATATTATTTTATTCTAAAAGCTTTTTTTTTGAAACAGAACATCTTCCCTTAAACTTAAAGTTTTAAACGATTTTCATTCAAATATCCCTGGGAAAATTATGAAATTACTTTACTATCTAGTAAAATAAAATTTAAATTAAAAAAACTTATTCGAAAAATTTTAAAGGGGGTTTGATGGGAATTTTTTAAACGCTTTAAATATAATTTAAAGCTGCTTATTCTTAATAAGGGGAACAACTAAACAAAGTTACCTGTCATTTGTTATTTAAACGTAATTACTTATTTTCTGACTTCTTAAATCAAAAATTATTATCACTTGACATTTTTAATCATTACCAACAAAAGTTTTACCTATCAATACATTAAAGGCTCATTATGTCTCAGAAATGATCTTACATTAATTTCTCAAAAGTCTGTATTCTTGGTGTACTTTAATAATAACCATAAAGTTACTGATTAGTCAAATGCCTGAGTCATATTTTTCATCTGTTGCTTTTGGCAGTTAGTACAGTTATAGTGATTTAGTATTTTTGTATGGAAGTCAAAATACTACTTTGTTTACGTTTTGCTACTTTTTATGATAAATGATTTCACATTTAACGATTTTTTCCTCAGATAATACCTAACATGCTCTTAAACCACCATTCGAATGTTATAAATTTCATGTCTTTTCCTCTTTTAAGAAGTAAAGATTCCTCTCTAAAGAAGTAAAAATTAATTCGTTTCTGAGGGATAATGGTATAATGTGCCTTTACGATTTAATTAGATCATCTTATTAACATGGTAATACAAAATATTTCACACGAAGGTCAGCCTTAAAAATGACGGAAGTAAATGAGTTTGCAAATTGCCTTAAGCATCTTTAGCACAATTTTTTAACATTCAGCACGTACAATATACACATATAAGACGTGTATCATCCCGTTTAAAAGTAAATACATTGTTACGGTAAGTACATACATTGTCAAGAGGACCGTTATTTCAATCAGTTCATAAACAATGAACAAAATGACTAATTGTCATACTTCACGTGAAATATAACGCAACATACATGTATACAGATTTGTTTAAGCCAAAATTAGTTTAAAATTCAGGAAAAACAAAACAAATAAATATGAATTTATAATTTTTACCTTCATACACGATATGTTAATCCCGTAGCTTATGAAATCAGTTAAACTTTTATCCCAACGAAAACGGTAATAATACACGAACAAACATGTATTGAGAAATTCGTAAATTATATCTTTAGTCTTATGAAGTGTATACAGCTTTTCAAATGAAGCAATTACTTAGATCAATTGTAGATACACATTTGTAAATCATGCAACAATCCATATGTGTGTTTTTCTTTCTTTTCCTTTTTTAATCTTAATATTTTCTTGGTTTATATAAAGATAAAAAAGTAAACACTGCACTGACAAAAAGTACAGCTGGAAACAATTAATAAATAACTACTTTCTATCAAGCGTTACAGTTAATTAAAAAAAATCAGAGTTAAGAATTGGTTTTCTTCCTGTTCTTGTACTATATATATTACAATATTATAAAAAAAATCGAATCCCTCCGAGTGTAATAGTAAAATGATATATATATAAATTTGTAACCCGAGAAACGTAATGTTTACCGAGGCATAATGAGTCCCTTAAGAGCATTGGAAACAAAATAAATGAATATCGCGTACTTAAAGTACAACAGCTCCGACATCCCACGGCATCATTCTAACAGATCTAAATTTCCTACCCTAAAAGCATTGGCAGCAACGAGCTTAAATAACAAAACTAATGTAGCCAGACAGCACTTAATATCTTGTATACATGCATAAATAACTCTGAAGAGACGAAATCCACTGAGAGTTAAGAAAAGATCTGTAAGTGACGATAAACCTTGAGAAGTTGTTTGACTTTCATCCAATGGCACCTTAAAATAAACTATTGTAGGTAGACATCCTAATTGGTTTGACAGTCTTTTTTTCGCATAGCGCTTAGCAAATTTGTTTAAATGTGACAAGAATGAATAATTGTATATATAATTATGATGCTGGAATCATTTATAAACGTAATCAGTATAACTACTGGTATATGCTTTCAGGAGTCATTTGAAAAGTAAAATGAAACCTACTAAATTATTCTGATCTATAGTCAAGATGCATTCGTTTTTAAAGGACTCCACTGCGGCCAAAACAAAAGGTTAGACATCCTTATATAGAACAAATGGAGCGCTCTAGAAAATCTGCAAAGATAATAAAGAAATACATGTATACTTAAAATAAAAGCGAATACAGATTTTTTTGCAATTCTCAGCTTGATTTGAGTGACGCTTATATTTGTTTTGGTCATTTTGCACAATTAATACAATTACGAGGGCTATTCAAATATGAATGCAACTGGCCCAATTTTCAGAAATGCTTAACACAAACAGTGCGAAAATAATTATAACAATCCTTTAAAATACTCACCACCATGCGATATACAAAGTTTTAGTCTTTTAATCCAATTTTTAAATGCGTTTTCATAATATTTTCGAGGGATACTGTTCAGAAAATGGAAAATAGCCGAACCGAGATTTTTTCGCATTTGATATTTTCTTCCAGCAAGGTGTTTTTTGAGCCTCGGAAATAGGAAAGAGTCACCAGGGGCAAGATCTGGCGAATAACGAGAGTGTGGAAGCTCGACAACCGTTTCCTGTTTCAGATATTCTCGTACAATTGCCGCTTTGTGTGACGAAGCATTGTCATGCAACAACCTGACACCACGGAGACCAGTTGCTGGTCGGCGGTTTTTGAATTATTTCTCTTAATTTTATGAAGGACATTGCTTTTGTAAAACTTATCATATACAGATTTACCTCCATATTTTGTTATGTATCAGTCGCTTGGGCTCATAAAAGTTAACCCACCTCTCATCTCCAGTGATGATATTTGCGAAAGATCGATTGTTGTATTTAGGGAACTGTTTCAACAATCGTTTGGAGATTCGTGCCCGAGCAAGTTTTTTGCTCTTTTGTAAGGAGATGAGGTATCTATCTGGTACTTATCCTTCTCATTTATAAATCACGTCTGGGAATTGTACCAGCGGCTATTACAGTGATACCAACGCATTTAGCTATATACCTAGTTTTACAGTTTGCATTATTAGCAATCAAATCCTTTATTTCTTTTAACCATTTTTGGCGAAGTAGCAGTTTTCGGACGGCGTGCATGAGGTGCATCTTTTAATGAATCCACACCACTATTACATTTCTTACACCACCGGTTGACAGATGAAAAAGAAAGTTCCTATAAACACGAAATATTTCATTAAATATGTCTTTTGCCTGTATACCAAGAATACAGCGGTTTTTGATATAGGACCGTATTTGGTAAGTGAAAGGAGACCTTTTCTCAACCATTTGAGCTTTAGAATACACAAGTAGATAGCGTTAATCGAGCTATTGTCAAAACTAGACTGAACTGATCTACACATGCATTGTATCAATCACACAAACATCTATGCGATACATATACATAGGTCGTGCAAAACATGGTTAAAAGCGAGATATTGGCCTAGTTGCCTTCATATTTGAACACCCCTCGTATTCTGGAAAAGCGGGCGAAGGAATGATATGAAAATTTGTACAAAAGTTATTGGTCCAAACCTGCATAAATCTCGGAAAAATATTTTAGAGTCCCTTTAATTACTAGTCGCTTTTGCAAACATACCTTTTTAAGTTTTTTCTGTCAGAAATATACTCATCAAAATCAAACAATCAAACAAACAAAAACAGCAACAAAAAAAAACAGCATATGTCTAAATACATGATATTTATAATTGTTTCAATTTTGGTTAATTATATTAGCCCAATGGGCCGCATGTTAAGTTTTTGTTGTAGATATGTATTGTTCTAGGTATGTACATGTCTGAACAATAGAATACTTACTTGCATACTTACGTACTTACTTATTTGCTACGCATGCATGCGAAAAGTAAATCAACAATAAAGCTAGTTAGACCCTAATACAAATACAACAGTTACTCCTTCTTTTTAGCTGTTTAAATCGTTTATATTTTTCTTCCTAGCGTCTAACAATTACATAAACCCCGATGTTTTATGCATCCAACAAACACAATGATTAGTTTACATCTGACGGCACTTAATTTACCTTTACTTCATAAAAAAACTCATAAAAACTGCCTCTTTTAATAAACATTAATTAGCGTTAATACCTTGCATGCGTTGAAAACTTGCCGCCTCCCTCTAATGCAAGCCTGCTGTGTATTCAGACGTAAGTTTTTGTTGCATAATTTGTATTGAACATTGTCTATAGTTTATGATGTAATTCACATCGGAATATCTGCTTTAATTACCACTGTTTTCCAAATTATTTCAGTTAGATAATCCTGTAATCTAAAGAAAGAAAATGCATTTATAAAAGTGAGTTACTCTGAAGAGAAAAAAGTACTTAACGTTACATAACTTCAGAGAGTGCTTTTGGATACTTCGTCTCGGCGCTGTTAGATGGGGTGACATGAAGGGGCATAACAATAATGCTATTGTTAGTTCTTAGTTAAAATTAGATGATTCATTTTGTTTAGTGCTATCTTTTCATTTTCAATAGTATATTTCTCTTATTCAAAGTTTTTATTCACCTCCATACAATACCCGCATCAAATGTACAATATATCCACCTCAGGTTGTAACAGATCTAGTATGATAAATTTGCCGTTCCGAATCAGATGATCAAAAGTTTGATTTGGTATTGAAAAGTATCTAATGATTTACGAATACAGAGCACAGAAATACCGATTATATACGACATATCTTATTTTGTGGACAATATTACCCGACGTAAATTTTACGTACGCAGGCAAAAACTTAAAACGACAGTTTAAGTTATAATTACGAAAAATGTCTAAAATGATATGGATTTCTGTCAAAAATCTTATTATTATAGTAAAGACAAAAATTGTTTTCCAAAAACACTGCATACCATGCCCTGCCTTTTCATAAAAATGGATAGCATCTCAAATCAAAGACTTTAAATTATGATATGCGATTTAAATTTATGATCTGCTGATACAACATGTCAATATAATATTAAGATTAATGATAACTATGAAAAAATACGACTGCAGCAGATAATTGTATTCATCCTTTGCTGAATTTTCAGAAAAAGCAATGATTATTTCCTTAACAAAGCAATAAGTATTTCCTTATCAAAGCAATAACTTTTTCCTTATCACACATTTCAAAAAAACATTCATTCATTCATTCATTCATTCATTCATCAATCAATCAATCAATCAATTAATCAATTTTTAATTAATTAATTCATTAATTCATTTAATATCATAAAAACAACCAAAAAATCTTTATTAAGCCATTAACTTGCTTTAAAATAAAAGAAAATAAAGTTTTATGTTAAAACGGTAGTGAACAACATGAGTATACTCAAATAAAAAGAACAATCGGTGTATCTGCAGAAAGAATTTTAAAAGCTGATAAAACAAGTACAAAAAAGAATTGTGTTTTTTATATTTTATTTGCATGACACTTTGAGTATTTTAACTATATTATTGCAACAAGAATGACTTTTTGTTTCTAAAATTTATGTTTATAAATAGTTAAGGTATTCATTGAATTCCTTTAAAAAATATTGTAAACAATGCCTCTGCCTGTGTTCTTAATTAGTTTTTGTTAAAAACAATTAACTACGAGACGTGCTGTAGTATTTTAATACCACCTTTGTTGTAAATGTAAGTTTCATCAAACAATTCTATTGTTTTATCTTTATTGTAATTTAAAAAGAAAAGAATATTATTTCTTTGTGAAATTATTGTACTTTGATGTCTTTTTGAGTCAAGCAAGCACTCGAGGCAAACTTAATTTTTTTATGCAAATTTTTGCATACTCATATCCAATGCAATGCTGTACCGACGGGAATATAGTGTAGTTTAAATATCATTGACATGTCAAATAAAGAATGCTCCTTAAACCGGTGTCATCAGAGGACGCAAGGGATGATGCATATTTGGAGGTGTTTTGTATTTTTATCTTTGCTGTGAGTGGTTCCACCATACACATAATTTTATAAAATATGACACCACAGACTGTTCTCTTGGCTCAGTAGGGAGGGCATAGAATCAGTTATTCGGGATTCGCTGGTTAGATTCTCTAGCGAGGCGTAACTTCTACGTGATAATTGATCTCTGACTGACATCAAGTCTAATGGTCATTTGTTTCTCTCACCGCAATATTCATACATCATGTGAGTACCTACTTATGCAGTCATTTGTAGTTACTATTTAGTTATCCAAGAAAGCCGGTTAGGTAGATAAACTGCCGAGATAGGATAAAAAAATATAGATCAAAATCGACGTAAAAACCTGAAAAACAAGCTAACTTACAAACGAAATCAAT